GCTAACGTTAGCCCTGGCCGCTGCAGACGGGCTAACGTTAGCCCTGGCCGCTGCAGACGGGCTAACGTTAGCCCTGGCCGCTGCAGACGAGCTAACGTTAGCCCTTGCTGCTGCAGACGGGCTAATGTTAGCCTTGGCCGCTGCAGACGGGCTAACGTTAGCCCTGGCCGCCACGCAGACGGGCTAACGTTAGCCCTGGCCGCCACGCAGACGGGCTAACGTTAGCCCTGGCCGCTGCAGACGGGCTAACGTTAGCCCAGTCTGCTGTTACCCTTGGAGGTCCGCTGGTTGCTGCAGTCCTCTCAACATCTGAACTTTTTTTTACTCACTAAATCAATAAATGGGCAATATAGTGACGCTTAAAGTAAAATCTTCTCGCCTCGAATGATCTTAAAACGTACTTTTCCTCAGTCTTGTGTTGTTGTGAATTGGAACAGTACTAGGGCTGTGGCTGATGACGTTTCACGAGCACATAAGAAAGCACAAGTACACAGATTAAGAAATGGTCCACCAGTTTCCACCAGTTTACTATATTTGAAAATTTTTTTCAGTAATAGTTTAAATTGTTGCTAAGTAATAATCTTTACCATCTGGGGAAAAGGCTGTTTAACCCGGGAACAATCAGCTTTTAGTGTTAGTGGGAACAGCTCACTGACTCTTTTCTACCCGGATCAAACGACTCGCATCAAAATCTACTCGGCTCGGATCTGCATGCTGTGGAAACACCAGAGGCAGATTTATCCACTAAATTACGTGACACCATTAAACGCAACGGACGGATTGTCAACACACCGCGCTAGTCGCTTCTGATCTCACAAGCAGAAAAACCTGTTTACATGTTGCTCTCCCATTGTTTACTTCCCTGATTTCTGTCGCAGTGGTGACATCATCAACCCTAACCCAGTGTGATGGTGTCACCAGACATGAAGCTGGGGGGGAACAGAGGCTATAAAGCTCCCAGCGAGGGGTTAGACCAGCTTTTTATGCCGAAGGGAAGGGAACCAAATGGCGATGGTTAGCGGGTCGACCCATGTTTGAAAAACACACGCTAACGCGCTATTTTCATTCGGACACAAGCTGTAGATTGTTACTTCAAGTAAGTTTACATTCACACTCAATGGTTGAATCAGTTTTAACTCTTATTGTTTATTCTTGTTTTTTTGGGGGGGGTTTCTGTCTTATTTTTCACTTTCCTTGTTTTCGTTTCGATGTTTTAAACTGTTGCCTGTATTGTTGTCATTTCACCACCAGGGGACGCTGCAGAAGTTCGTGGATGACCTTTTTGAGACGGTGTTCAGCACAGCCCATCGCGGCTCTGCTCTCCCACTGGCCATTAAATACATGTTTGACTTCCTGGACGAGCAGGCCGACAAGCGGGCCATCACCGACCCAGACGTCCGGCACACCTGGAAAAGCAACTGGTTAGTTCCTGGAAACTCTCCGCCGTTTGGTTTGTTTGGAGCCGTCAAAGTAAATCCTCTGTGCGGTCTGCAGCCTTCCTCTCAGGTTCTGGGTGAACGTCATTAAGAATCCTCAGTTCGTGTTCGACATCCATAAGAGCAGCATCACGGACGCCTGCCTGTCGGTGGTGGCACAGACCTTCATGGACTCCTGCTCCACTTCTGAACATCGACTCGGCAAAGACTCGCCGTCCAACAAGCTGCTCTACGCTAAAGACATCCCCAACTACAAGAGCTGGGTGGAGAGGTAGAGAAGCAGTTAGCTAATCCAGGATTTTATCTAATCTTTAGCTCATCATTGTTTTATCAATAGTTAGAAAATGGGATCTGAGATCAGAAACGATCAGATCTTTCTAACAGACGACTGTGACGTCAGAGGAGCTACAGCACATGGAGATTTATGGAAATATGTCACCAACACGAAGACGAACAAAACAGCTTTACTCCTTATTTAAGATTAAATATTTATCTTGCACATCTAAAAAATGTATGACTATATTTTGAAATATTATAATTTTATAGTTTAGTTTTTCTTTTTTGATGTCTTAATCAAGGTCATTGGGTGAGTGGAGTGGCGCCCCCTATTGGCCGCCACTGTTATCGTCTGCATTGAGCTTTACTTTGTTTTCAGCAGGTTTTTTTTTTCAACTTTTTGATAAATAATTTCAGACTTTTGGACTAACAATGTAAAACAGCTCCTACGCCGCCATTTGTTGGGTTCTTTAAGATTTTATTGTGCAATGTTGTTTATTCTGAGAGTCCGATTAGACCTGCTGTAGGTACCAGATCTGCTCGAGGCCCCACCCTTCCTTATGACATCATCATAGGCGGAAGCATAACTTGCAAAAAAATCATTTTCAAATGTATTTAAAGGAATAGTACACCCAAAACATGATTAGCCTTCATTTTCTACTCACCCCCATGCTGAACAACACTCTGGAGTACTTTTTTGATATC